AAGTGAATAAATACTAATATTTATTTTAGATGTTTAAATACTACTCTACATTCATTTGCATGTATTAATTCTAAATCTTTGAATATTTGAAAATTATACAGAATAAATAAATAAAATAAATAAATAAATATATTTAAAGTTAAATCTGTGTTTTAACCTGAAAAAAAAAAAATAAATAAATAAAAAAGTTGTAGTCGATACTGCTCAACAACTTCTAGGATTTGAAATTGAAATAATTCTTTTCTTGTTTTCGCTTATACATCTAACCACAATGTTTTACCCAGATTTTCTTTTCAATGGGCTCGCGGCTTAAAAAAGACACAAAGACAATCAAGCTTTCAGTAGTTGGTAGTTTTGTTATTGCCAGATGTTTTTCCTTTTCCATTGGCTATTGAGTTATCAAAACTTGAAGTAAAGAAATGCATCACATTCACAATCACTATTCGGAATAACATGTGTTCATATATGTAGTCATATGTTCACGAATACTTTTCAATAGCTTAAATTATGCCCTGTTTATCACTCAGCATTATTTGAGTAATCGAAAACAATTAAAAAACCATACGATGAAACATGTTTAGCAACGAATTATAAGGATGAAGTAACAAACTTTCAATTTATAAGAGTGGAAATGTTGGAGTGAATGCAAAGTATTATCAATTATATATTACAAGGGAACCAAAATTTATGATACCTTTACGAATTAAAGAGTTTTGCTTTTTTTAAGAGGGTAGCCATTATTTCTCTCAAGTTGCAAAGATTTTAAGTTTATTGGTGTGCTAATTATCGACATTTTTATTGACTGCAACCAGTTGTTCAAAGTAGGAATGAGGCTATAACTATTCATTGAGGTAGAGCAACTAAAAATTAACGAATTTTATGTTAGAAATGCAATTACAAATGTATTCAATTAGAAAGCATTAAAATAGAAATTAGAGAATGGTTATTGTCAACAGCTCTGCTTAGATTTTCCAATTCAGAGTGTATTTTCGCAATGTGAAGTTTGGCAACGTTGCATAAGTATATGCATAAGATAAGATCGACTGGTAAATGATTTAGTTCGCTGCTATGTCACTCAGTGACGAGCAGCTTTTGTCAAGCAGCTGCTGCACATTTAGGACTTGCCCTTTGAACCTTTGAGTGCTTTCGCAAATAACCGCAAGCGGACGTTTTCCACTGAGCCCAATTTACACGAAGTTTTCCAAGCAAATTTGGCTGCACTGTTGCTGTGACGATTGTTGTTGTTGTTGCTGTTAATGTTTTTGTTGCTTACTGTTGTGGCCTAAACAGTTTTGTGCATCTCACCATGGCAACAAGTGCAATAGCAGTTGGGCTGTCTAGCTGGGCTGGGGGGCGTCAACAATGGCCAAGTCGCGTTGCCAACTGTAGCCAAACAATGAACAGGCCACGATTCTGGCGAAAATCAATAAATCGCTTTACCTGCTAGGCAGGGGCAGCGCTCCATTTTCGAGGGTATGCACGAGTAATAAAATAGAGTCTAAGTCTGAGTCGAGTCGAGAATGATTCGAAGTGTGAGTCGGTGACCGCGACACGTTTTGCCATTTGATTCCGCACCAGACCGACAAATTGAAGTAAATTTCCTGTTTGCCCGCCTGCTTTTCCTCTTTGCTGACCTAATTTTCGCGGAAAGGCGACTTTTCATTAGTTACTAAAGTTACCCTTTGTACAAAGGCCCAACAGATTCGACATTCGGCATTTGGCATTTGATTAGGAGGCAGGCTTTTAGGGTTGTTGCCCTGCTTGATACATTAAGGCGACCTGATTTGCCTGAATGCAAATTAATTTTCTGCTAATGGCCGAAAGCAATGACTAATACAATCCCTAAGCAAGTGAGAACGCTCCAGGTGGACACAACTGACTTTGTAATGCTCGCTCGACCACATTCACAACTGCAGACATTACTAGATCGATACACTCAGTAGCGTAAAATGTAAAATGAAGACCATACAGGTCTATCTGTAAAGCAGGTCAAGAGTCATCACCCTGCTAAATTAATCGATTAAAGATTTAGAATTGTAAAAGACGAATCGTTAAGTGTACATGAGTTGTTGATAGGTAAGTTTTAGTAAATCTCTTGAGCAAGTAATTTTTAGAGGTTTGCTTTAAAGTGGTCCAAGATATATGTACGATAATAATCCATAAGCAAAATTTAACAGACCTAGCATAATTTTAGCAAAGATTTTTTTGGCTACTTTGAGGTTATAACTACGATTATATATCCGAACTTCCTAGTCCCTTCATATCAGTCGTATATTTCCCGAAGCCTTGTAGGCGTGTCGGATAAATTCCAACCACTTTTGAGAAGGCGAGACACCTGATGCCATAGTTTGCATTCACACAGATAATCATCACAAAGAGACAACTGCGCAAAACTAATATACTCTGTTCAGCACGTGAGCGAGTATTGAAAGCAATGAAAAGTGTTTGAAATTAATTTTCTTTGCTTGGGCCAAGCGGGTTTATCAGGATAAAGAAAGAATACCCGAATGGGAGATGTGCCGGTGCTAATGTAGGCTATAATTTATGGGGCTGGGGGACTGGCTGCTGTCCCTGGCACGATATCGGCAGCACAGCCATGGCCGATGGCCCGCTGACAATTACCTGGCTGAAAACGTGCTGGCTACTCAATAAGCAGCATCTACTTGCCTACATGCTTCAGCTGACTGTCTGTCCGTCTGTCCATCTGTCCGTCGGTCCGTCTATCGCCTTGTTCGCTGGGTCTCTTGACACCAACGCGCCAGCGTGTAAATCATATAAGCATAAATGTGTGCACGGCACCTCTGAATCACGCGCGGATTACCACAAAGCGAGGCACAAGAAGTAGAATGCCAAATGGCCAGCAGCACTATAAAGCACAAGCCAAGAGCTATAAACTGCCCTCGTTGCCCACACACAAGCGACAAAGTCGACGGCAGAACGGGTGTTCCCTCTGGCTCTGGGCAGAGGCGCTTGGAAATTTATGCAAGTTGAAAGTCGTGACACAATTGGTAAAAGTTCATTTGTTGAGTTCGACGGAAACTCAACGAGCAACTAGCCCTGAGCTAAGTGTCCGAGGGATAGGGGTAGGCCGCCGGCTAGGTCCCCTTTATCTATTGATCTGAGCATTGACCAACTTGTCATATGTTTTTATGCAAAAAATGAGGAAAAAACTCAAACGTTTTTCCGACGTAGAAGGAGAGAGAACCTTTCGAAATTCGACAACCTGTTGCCGGCTGCCCTCAGAGCTAAGTGGAACACACCACACACACAGCTAGCTAGCTGATGGTTCCACTCAAGCGACCATACAAGGGGCTTTCCAACCGCGCTCGAGCCGAGAAGCAGAACCAACGGCGTGGCGTGTCTTTCGCCTAGTAATTTAAGAAGCTCGCCTGACTTTTTGCATTCACTTTATTGCCTCTGATGATGTTGGCTCTCTAGCTGGTTGCGTTGTCTGGCTGTCGGTTGTCGGCTGTCTGGCTGCTTCTCGATTTACCGCTAAGAGCAACAAACAGCAATGCCGCGCTACGCCGGACACCCGTTCTCGTTTGGCAATCGAGTCTACAATTTCTTGGCGCTTCTTGCTGCTGTTGCTGTTGTTGTTGTTGTTGTCCCTATTGTTGAATCGACTCTGTCATCTTTAGTTTCGCACTAGTTTTTCCTCATTATGTCATTGAAAGTCAGAGAACTTAATAAAAAGATTTTGTTCAACGCCCTACTCTTAGGCCATAACCGAGTTTATTAGTCCGTTGTATAATAGTTATAATGGTGTTATAACTAAGTTGGTTCATCTCAAATGAAGTTTTAAATATGTATATATATATAAAAAAAAGATTTGGTCTAGACGGTCGTTCTTCTGCTTGCTGTCTTAGTCGAAAATCGTTGAACTTTACCTGGAAAATGCATGTTTGATTTTTATTTTTAGTATAATATATATACGAAGATATTCCCGAGGACCGTAAGATTTTAGGATGGCAAATCTGTTAAACTTTTTGATACTTTAAGTGAATAAGATGTTGTAGATATGTTTATGATTTTGGATACCTTATTCATATAACTAAAAGAAAAAGAGCCTAGTGGTTTTATCTGCTTTTCCACATAGATCTATGCTTTATTATAATTATTTGCATGGCAGCGCTACACGGTGTTTAGGGTATCTCTTCGTCTGGTACTGGATGATTGTAGAACTGCTTAAAATGTGATCACATGTACGTAGAGTGTGTCAATTTAAATCGAAGAAACGCTTAGTCAATAAAACTTTGATTGATTGCCTCGGATATTGAGAGACAGATCAATTTCAGCTACTTTTAATTGGCGTTTAATGGCAGGAAATTAAAACGGCTTACTTAAAAGCGCAAATATTTGCCACGTAGCCACAGTTGCTGTCGCCGAGCTTTGCCAGAGACAACTGTGCCATTCTCTGGCTCGATTCAAGTTCAGCTATCTGTCAAATGCACAAGCCATACGGCCGACCGTCCGCCCACTCACGCCACCCACGGCGATGTGGACGTGTATATCGAGGCATCTCCATACCGCACAATGAGCCGGCGAGTCACTTCTGCGTAAGCTTTTCCGCATTTCAAGGTCAGCGGCAAGTAGCTCTTTGTGTATGAATGAGATCTAATTGTTCGTCAACAGACTTATGGGCCTGTCAGACGTATGATGAGCACATTATACATATGGTGTGCGGCAGCGCCAAGTGGGCCCACTTAGTGCTGGATGCTCTATAATCACAATGCCAAATATTGGATTATTATGCCTTTGCCCTGGCACCCACACGGGGCGGGGAAATGACTGCATAATCAGCCAACTGTCATTGGGCTTGGGTCCAGGTCAAAGCGGAATGGATCTGTGGCATGCCATATATGATGTGCATGTGTATTATATAACTGTTTAATTGAGAGACGAAATTTGTTGTTTACTTTTGAAATATTTTGCAACAGCTGAAAGTCGTGTACATATTTACTCAAGCAGTCTACCCTTCTCTCTCACTCTCATTGCAGCAGCTGGCACTTGGATACCCTGGATCTCAGTCTTTAGCGGGCATACACTAGCAAGGCATCGTCAGTCGTTATGCTGTACAGCAAAATATGGCCACATCGACACTTTATGTTGCTGGGGTGACCTGCTTGGGGTTTGTGTGCTTCGCTTTGGCCTCTGTCGCCATTGGCATACCCATTTGGGGTTACTACGACAGTCCATCTGGTGAGTGCTGCTGAGGACCTTGAAAGAGAGTTCGATTGACTCACTTACTCATTGTTCTCTCCACAGGTGGCTACGACTATGATCGCGGCTATTTCGGCCCCTTCAAAGTGTGCAAGCAACTCACTTACAATCGCGAGAAATGCGGCAACGATGTCTCCAAGTTCCGGCTGAGCAGTGAGTATATATTATTATGAATCAATCAGAACTTAAATTTAGACTGTAAAATATATGTCAAGACGAAGTCTATTTTAGCTAATATTCTTATTCTTATTTAAAATGATACTTTTCCTAATTTAGTTTTATTTGAATATTTGCATAAAAGTGTGCATAATCATTGTATTTGAAATTTTAGTTACTTACCGACATTTTTTAATTATTCATAATTTCTATTGGACTTTATAGGAAAAATGTTTAAAAGGATATCTGACTAACCCATATTTAAATAATTTTTATACTTTCTTTGAGTTAATGATAGTTGCTAATCAATTTCTAATATTATTAATTATTCAAAATATTCCATGTTTATTTCAGATGCGGTATTTATCAGCGGACTCTTGGCAGTGTTCAGCTGTGCTGTGCTGGGCATCTTCTGCATTCTGTCGGTGATTCAGCACGCGATGATCTCGTCGCGTGACAAGGTTGTCATGTCCTACACATCACTGGTCATTGTCAAACTGATATTGGCCTTGCTGGGCGGTACGCAAATATAGCTCAATTATACCCAAATTAATACCCTATTTATCCTCTGACAATTATTTTCCACCCTGCAGGTTTATTGGCTATAATAGCCACAGTGCTCTTTGCACTACAGATCGATGAGCAGGAGCGTTTCGGTTTCAAGATATCGCGTGGCATATCCTTCTACATACAGGTGAGTAATTGCATTACTTTGATTACTAGCTGACATTCATTTCGGATTGCTTTTGGCTTTGCAGATAGTCGTGATTGTATTATCCATTGCGCTGTTTGTGGCCGCCTTGTATGATGTCATCTTCTCGCGCACCCCTGGTGGCGATCCCACAATGGCGCTGGACGCTTCTTCGCCGGCTAGTGCCACCACCTTCAACAATCCGGGCTTCAAGGAGCCGCGCAATCGCAACGGCGTCTCGATGACCGATGCCTCGGGCAAGCCATACAGCGGCATCAGAAACGGGGCTGGAACCGCTGGCAGTGTGGCTTCAATGAGCACGACTGTGACGAGCGTTTCGAACGGCTCCACGCTGGACTCGGTGACTCGTTCGCCGTTGCGCTCGAGCTTGAAGAAGCCACGACCCAGGCCCGATCCCACGCTGGGCATACAAAATCCAGGATATTCTGGATCGGGCAACTCTCCGCCAATGCGACGCAACGGAAGCGTGAAGAAAGTTCGCATTCAGACGCACAGCACGGAGGTTTAGTGAGAACGGTGGAACCCAAAGCCCAACATGATCCGAATCTAAACTTGAAACATGAGAGACACAACAACAACAATTACAAAGACTGTGTACTGTAGCAACAACAACACGAGTATCAAAAACAAAAAAATCGACACTTCACGCAACATAAAACCAATAGAAGAGTTTCAAGATTCTGTTTGAAACCCAACAAATTGAATTGGAATTTGCATAAACAAATTGTTTTCATTTGTCTTCCAAGTTAATTTGTTTTTGCTAAACAAAGGAGGCAGCCAATTTATCTCTTCTTCTTCTGTTCTTCTGTTCGTCTTTCAAAATTGTTAAGAGCAATTTGGTATGCAACGGTTTCCGTCCAAGGGCAGAGTCAAATAAGTTAGTTTAATTTGTATTTGACATTTTGTTTTGGCATATGTATATTATGAAATATATATTGTTAACCATTCTCAAAGTGTCCTTAAGACCCAGTCTCTCCCGCGACCCCTACCCATAGCCACATGCTACAGAGCGAATAGCAAAGATATACTTTTCCAACTTTGTAACGACTTAGATGTAGTTTCCATTATTTGCAATGTATAATATAAACAATTGTTGCTAAAGTTACATGATACATAAAATACATACTACAATTAAGCTTGTTTGTTTACAAATACGTTTAATGTTTTTCGCTGTAAGTTACAGATTAAATAAATTAAATGCAAATTAAATAATAAACTATTAATACAGAATAATAAATTAAATTTGGACTTGATAGCTGGAAATTTATTTAGTCTAAGTAGTATCCAAACCTATAATGTGTAGCTATTTTTAATGGATGTTTCTTTCTTATATATTTGATTTTATAGTTTTACCTGGTACAATATTTAGATTCCATACAATTATTTGAGGCGCCACGAATGAGTTATTCAGAGTAGCCAAAATGGCTTAAAGTGAAAATCTCTAATTTGAAAAATCTTAAAATACTATTCAAAAAATACCAGCCATTAGCAAATGCAAGCAGTGTAGTCTTTAAATAGGTTGAATTATATAGAAATACTAAGAAACCAAGCAGTGCATTGTCATTTACCCCACAGCAGGGAGAAATAGATACATATAGAAATACTGAAGTAATCTAATACGAACGTTATCTTGGAAAAGCAGTGTACAACAAGCAGTGTATGTTGAGACACAAGCAAGCAGTGTTAGTTACAGTACAATCGAAACTGTTATACGTATGACTTGGCACAGTTTAACTTAAATTTGTACTTTAAGCATTCAAAAGTTTTTGTATATTTAAGAAATTATTTCATATACATGATATGAGTGAGCATTGAGTACCATGAGTATAAATCACGCCTAGAATATAAGTCTATATATCATCGCTCAAATAGTCTTATTGATAAAGAGTTGAATAATAATAGTGGAAGGCTAAGACAAATGTTTGTCATTTATACCTATGAAAGACACTTAATTATAAATCAACGTCAGATGCATTGCACAAATGCTCGCCCAGTTTGTAGGTGGTCCGAATCTCTGACCTCAGCTGGTGCCACACACACACACACATGTTCCCTTGTGCGCTGCCTATCAGCAATTGATATTGATACGTTCTTTGTTTACAACTCGAGTTGACAATCTCCCCTCAGACAAGAGTACATTTACACTTAGTTATGTATAAGCAATTGATTCATTCAAGCCTAACCGCAAGTTGATAAGCCAGACAAACTAAATAGCACTCAGCCAGGTGAGGAGCACTGACTGAGACAGACAGACACACAGAGAGAGAGAGAGAGATAGCGAGAGGGAATAAAGAGAGCATAAGTGGAAGACTATCAAAGAGCAATACGATTCGAGTTGCCTCGACTTGAAGCACTCGAATATCGCACAGTTCGAGCTGAGATTTCTCTGTTTCAAGACGTTGCTTGATAATACGAGTGCCCTAACTATATATATATATATTTATGTTCATGTATATATAGAGACGCGTGCAGCATCTAGTATATCAAACAAATCAAAAGCTTCTATTCCGTTGTTCTTGTTGCTGCAGTTCCGCTCAGTTGTAGCGCCTTGTTTATAAATTCTGAATTGAAATCAAAATTATGAAATCAACAAAAACATTGCACAAGTTGCCGTCGCTGCTGCTGCTGCTGCTATTGCTGCTCGTCTCTGTTTGGAGTCATCCGAGTGAGTAGAAATAGCTGACTATAGGCAATACATCAAATATCAAATTTATAGTGCCGGATGCCGCTGTGCCCGGGAGTGGAGAGGCCCAGCAGTCCCTGATTCTCATTCAGAACAATCTGAGTCCCGAGCATGCAAAAAACTATGAAATATCTGTGCCCAAGGCCCCGCAGCCGGGCGAGCCCTGTCTGACCATCAGCTGGAAGACCAATCCGGATGGATCTGGACCAGATGAGCCCAAAATTTATCTAGTCAATGGGTACTTCAAGATATTGACACCGTCAGAAGCGGCAAATCTCCGACAATAATGGGGTCGTGTAATCACTAAGAACTATTTGATATAAGCACATATTCATGCCGGATTATTAAGGCTGCCAAGACCTACATAATATAATATTAACCCACATTAACAGCAGCCGCATTACACTATATACATATATGCTCAGCTCATTATCAGGCGATCATTTAAATTATTGAAGATTTACCTAAATCTCTTGGATTTCCTAAGTTATTATAAAAGTTCATTAGACAAACAAGTTTTCTAAAAAAAGGAATATTAATCAAATTATTTCTTTACTATCGATAATTTTTAGAACCCAACAAATTATTTTTAGCTGTGATTATATATCTTTTTCTGCTTCTAAAATTGTAAGTTTTCCATTTTATGCTAAAACTATTCATTTCATTATTAAAATTAAATGTATTTATAAGATGCACTTCCAATACACTTATTTCTATCATAAGAACATAATAAACTAATGAGTAAAATGGATATGAAATAATTTAAAAAATATGCCAGTATTTTATTAATTAAAGCCCATTAATTAAATTGTAAATATTTGTGTACATCTAAAACTTACCAATCCCGAACTATTGTTCTGTGGATGAACTGTTATTTGAAATCTGCACAGAAAAGTTTGACATTATTTTAAGCATAAAACTACACACAACGCCTTCAGTTAGAATCTTAATTTGTGAGCTGAATAATTCATTCGGCCCATCCGCCCGTGTTTGCAAGTGGAAATTGAGTTAATCCAACAAAAGTTGTTCGTGGAACAGGCACCTCAAGGCAAATGTGTGCCTCGTGTGTCCAGTCACAATTGTCCCACTGGAGCAACATTAAAGATTCTATTCCGAGTAGTCCATTTGTTTGCCAGAAGTTTTCGGAGAATTAGGCAATGCCAACTGCCGCAGCCGAATCATTCGTCACCAAGATAATGCGAGAGCTCACGCATCGTCGCTCATCGTGCTCAAAAGTCGAATTAGGCGGTCATCCGTTTTACCGTCCAGACTTATTTTTGGAGAGGCCTTAGCTCGGTTTGAAGTTATCCATTCCTAAGTGGAGGGAATACTTTGAAAATTGATTCAAGCGAATGCCGACGTACATTGAATCGATTGGGGAATTATTTGGAAACACAACAACTGCACTTTGATTTGTATTTTACTATGTATTTATAGGTATAGCTTCCCAAAGGAATACATCGACATTGCTATGCATTTCAAATCAGAGTTTAAATATTATATTATCGTTGAGGCTGGGAAGTTGTTGTTGGCCAAGTTGGAGCTGGTGCCACATAAATCTCGAATGCAACTGCTACAACCTCATAATATACTGTGTAGAACAATTAATATACAATGCGAATAATTTGTAGGTCGATTCGCAAAGCGAATTCAATCTGCTGGCTGTATTATTTCGCGAGCTATGCGAAACTCACTCGCCTCGAGCAATAAAGTTTTAATTGACAAAGTTGTATAAAGTTCTAGCGCACTATTGAACGAGCCAGCCAAATTGCTGTATCATACGAAAGTTACGTATACGCCGTGTGTGGCTAAAGTAAAGGCAGAAGCAGAGGCTGGGGCGGCGGCAGATTACATAAATGTTTCTAATAGTTTAAGGCTAATTTGCTGTTTTGTAATTCAGTTTTAATTTGGCGGCGCATCGTCTGAGCACATACATATATTCAGCAGAACTTGGCTTTGACTAGACTTTCGTTGGGCAGGATTACGTGTGTGACACTTGAGTGTATTCACCGCAAGGATACTGTCGAAAAAGCCAGAGTCCTTGGCTTCACATTCTTCATTTAATTGCCACTGCTGCTGCACAGGAAATTCGCAGAAAAATAGTAGCGAATGGAGTGCCGTTCATTTCCTGTTTCCCACTTTCCACTTCCCGTTTTCCATTTTCCATATTTCACTTTTCGTTTTTATTTTCGTTTTAATTAAGCAACTTTAGGCATTTGTTTTCATTTGCGAACTTTTGCTCAGCTCAGCAGCAGCAACTTTTCCACCCAGCGCCAAAACATACCGAAATATTTGGCTCGAAAATGGGAAAGGGTTGACTTTTGCGGGAAAACAACAAGAACTACGTATTATTGCAGCGTTATAAATCCATAATACCTGCAGGCATTGTCCGGCCAAAGTTTTTACCCTCGTGGAAGTATTAAATGTTAAATTCTTTCATCTTTTCGTAAATATAAAATATTTTTAAAATCGTGCAATAAAAAATAAACAAAAAATATACGTATCTGTCAATGTATGTATATGTATGTATTTGTACATGTATATTTGTAGGTGTTTACCTTTAAACTACATTTTAAAAATTGAATAAAGACTTTTCAGTAAGGTATACATTTAAGTTTTCTTTTTGATACCTATTGAACTTAATTTATTATTTAATTTTTTTTTTTACTATAGGAATTGGAAGTAAAGTATTATATTAACATACATATTGCGCATGTTAAGTAGTTATCAAAGATAGTGAAGGGTGACTGCTGAGTGCTTGTTATCAATTAAATTTGAATTAATTAAGTTAAATTAATGTTACTCTTGTTCAAGCTTGAACAATTTATTGATGGCCACCTCCTGAAGTGGACTACGGTCGAGCAACGAGAGTTATTTACGACCATCCTTAATATACAAAACCATGGCAATAGATTAAGAGCCAATGATAGGAGTTATAAATAAAATAAGTTGCTCTGCGCGGCAATATATTGTGACTAAAACACGCTATAGCTCCCTATTATATATTTTATTCCTTCATCTGTCAAGCTCTCTCGTTCTGAAGCGCTTTAACTGGAGGAATTAAATTCTATAATCATATATACTAATTAATTGAAAACTTGACAATTTTCCCAGTACAGCATCCATCCATTATATTGTCCTCGCTTTCGTAGAATATTGTCTGGAAATAATGGCTGCCTCTTACATAATTTAACAAATTCAAATTCAAGTATTCGGTAGACGCTGTTTAATACATATTTCACAAAACACTTTGTCAAAATCTCAGTCTCCCTCTCTCTATCCTCCTTGAAACATCCAATTTCACTTAATTGAAATCTGCGCTCTGCTCTTTCTCCATTTTTCCGTTAGATTCCGACTAATTTATTATTTATGCGGCGTAAATACTTGGAGCAGCTCAATTTGATTGCTGCTACCTCAACAGACAAGGTTTTTGTTGCATTTCCGAGTTTTATTAATATTTTCCAGTAACTGTATATGCGCGGCTATTGCGTGGCGTGTCCACATATGGGTGTGTGTGTGTGTGTGTGTCCCATGCATCTGTGTGGCATGATAAATATGCAGTTCGAAAATGTTTTCAGAATGTTTTGCCGGCATGTTGTGCGGGGGATTTATTGCATTGCGACTTGCATTACATTGCCAATTTACAAAGGCTGCCACCCACCCGCGGCACGAACCTTGCTTGCCACATGCATCTGCAACATTTGTTGCGGCGCAGTCGGCAAATTTTTGCTGCAACTGCGACTGCGACTGCGACTGTGGCTGCGTTCTGGCTGCCAGGTTATTGTTAGAGCCACCAATTTGTAACTGTCAGAGGAGGACGAGGAATTCGAAGAACATATTTTTGCTTTTTGCTGAGCGAATATATCGAAACATTTTATTGGACACAACAAAGCCTAGCTCAAAGCTGCGCTAAGGACTGCACTGAAACTGCCCTAGAGAGAGAGAGAAAGAGAGAGATTTGAGTGCAGCCCCAAGTGCAAGCTCTCGAGCTGACTTGTCGCTTGACTTAACAAACAACAACAATTTTTCTGAAGAGTACATACTCGAATATATGTATGTATATGTATGTATACAGCCGGTGTGCCGAATCACAAAATGTCACCTTCCTCGACCTTGAATGTTTCGTTCTCGAGGTCAATGAAGTCGGTCACGGTCTTGGGATCCTCATTCTCCTCCTCGAGCAGGCAGTAGATGTTGTTCGACTCCTGCTTGATGATCTCGGTGCCCAGCTGCTTCCAGAATGGACGACAGCGATTCTTCCACTGGCGCAGGTTGTAGAAGGCGCAGTACCTCGAGCCGGACGCCTTCAGCATGGCCATGTAGAGCGGAGTGATCTCGTCCGCCAGCAGCTTGCCCATCAGGAAGACGGCCGTCTTCTTGCTGTGGGTGTCGTTGAAGTCGATGTAGATCTTCTTGGCTTGATTGTAGCACTTCTTGGCGATGCCCGTCTTGGAGGTGTCCCGGGCAAAGAGCTTGCCCAGGTTGAGAAGAATCTCGGCCTCGTGGTCCTTGTGATCGTACAGACGCGACAATCGCAGCGCCTTCTTGAAGCTGGATATAGCCTTGTCTATGTGATCGAAACTATGCGCCAGAGTAAATGCATTGTGAGTAAAGTATATTTCATCCCATGCGCACTTGTACTCACTTCTCGGCGCATTGCCCCAGATAGAGATAGAACTTAATGTTCAGCTTGACAAACTTGTACTCGGTGCAAGCCGTCAGCTCAGGTCGGATCTGCTCGAGGCACTGCTGCGCGGCATGATACTTATTGCCCTCCATCAGAAAGAAGGCGCGGTCCAGGAAAGTGTCACAGAATATGTCCAAGTTCTTTTGTCGTCCGACTGTGGGTCGGAATAGTTACATATTATTATATATACTGATGGGGAATGGGATGCCCGAGTCAGTCTATGTACATATATAGCAGACATATTCATGTATATTTCTTTGCGACTTACTCTCTGCTATGAGCACGGTAGCGCGGCGGGCCATGTCCACGGCCTCTTCGGGTCGCTGGCGAGCCGTCTGGCGGCCATGAATGAGCAATTGACGAGCCAGTTGCTGGGCCACCAGGGCATGGAGTATTGGACTGGCAGAGCCCTTCTCTGGCTCCGATAGCCACATGTGTCCGCGGACCAGCTGCAGTGTGGCGTTCAGATAGGTAATGGCGTTCGCTCGCTGGCCAGTGCGCTCTAGGAACACGGCATAGGTGTGATAGATGCGAGCAATCATCTCGGCTGCATCGCGCTCCTGGCCCTCGATGTTGTGGCACAGCGAGACGATGTGCTCCATGACAGCGTTCAAGGCGTATTCGTACTTCAAGCGGTATGGCTCTAGCAGCAAGAGGGTCTCGTAGAACAGAGTGAAGCACTCCTTGAGACCCTTCAGCTTGCGCTTGACCACTGCCAGCTCGGCCTGCTTCATCTTCTCGATCATCTCGATCAGCAGTGGGCGATCGTCAATGATCCGGGCGCGAATGCTCATGGATTCGAACAACGCCGCCTCCTTCTCGGCCAGGCAGCGCACGAACTCCGGCATCATCTTGCAGCCTTCGTGGCGCAGCTCCGCCTGCAGCGCCTCATAGATCGGACCACGATTTCGGCGTGCCTCGATAAAAGATAACGGTACAATACTCGCCTTTATCAGATCCCTATCGAAGGTGATATCGCGAAAGGTGCGGTAGGGCAGCTTGGCCCTGACCGCGCGCTCGATGCGCTGGATCTCTTGCTGACGGCGCGACATGTTTCCGAATTACTATTTCGATTCGACTTGTACACAGAAAAATATAAATATGTCATAGATGTGATTTATTGACATTAAATGTTTAAATGTTGAATAAGCAGTGTAATGTCACACGATTGAGTGATATTGAGTCTTTTTACAGTGATGAGTTAAGAATTAATTTAAGCAGACGAGTAAAAAGCATTGAGTGGATTCCCATCTTTGAGAGGTCTGGTATCGATGAGTTACTTCGATCAAGTGTCATTGTTGTTGGGTCTATACGAAGGATATGCACGAGTAGCGACTTATGAAATGAGAAGCGACATGAAGGATAATTACTGGGCACGCATAGAAACTTCTATTTATTAATAATAATAAATGATTATAGCAATCGAGCTTTTATATTTCTATGATTTTAAGTATCATTTGTCATTTTAAGATATGCTAGCAAAGAAATTTTATTCATATATTTATTTGTATCATATAAAATCTATTTAATCTTTTGCCAGTTTGTATTATTATTTTTTAAATGTCGAATCCATGCCATTTCAGATTACTATTTAAATAATACATTTAATCATGTATTAAATTTGTTACTAATTTATAAAATAATAACAAATAATATTAAATTAAATCGATATTTCTGCTTTTTTTTTATATATATTTATTTTATATTCATATATATATTCAAACTCATATATGATTTATAGAGTATGTTTATTGTGTATTTTTAATATTTTCATTTTAGTTCAAAATTGCAATTTTGCGATTTTTAAAGTACATATGGTGAGGAAGAAGTCATCAAAGAAACTCTGCGGTCACTTGGCAAATTCACGTGGCAATCAGCGCCAAACATACGTTTTTTCTATACCTGTGCTCACCTGCATTCCAGTGCATTCATTGCTTTTGCAATGCCTTGAGACGCATCACGATGGTGATTCAATCGTGTTGTGAATTGTCAGCTGCTCCTCTTATTTCGGATTTGTCAACATGAGTTGCTATGACGGCGTAGAGAGGAGAGACGATGACAGAGATGGAGCACTCATGTGGAGACGCAGGTGCACTTCAGGTGATGCAGGCATCTATTTTCTTGAAAGCTCAACTATCAAGCATATATAATTTGATTAGGGGATTAGGGATATTCAACTATACAAATATTGCAAGTTTTATTATCATAAAACTCACTTAGATTTTGAACATAGAAAATCTAATATCGACTGGCAGGCCATTGTATAGCCAATTAAAATATACTCTTTTGAAAAATAATACGTTGACAACAATAATCAATAAACTAAAGTATTGTGCATAGGCAGAATGGAACTCAATTCAATAGACAAAGTTCATCATTCAGTTTATCTATTTGACTAGACGCCATAAAAGATGCAATCTCATGTCCTTAGTTGGCCACTATAGACAAGTGTAAGCTACCTTCGAAACAGAGGGATTATTATTTATAGCCATTTATTCCCACTCAGGTGCAGACTATATGTATGTCTCTACTAGCTTTAGAGATCTAACATATTTATTAAAAAATTGTATTCTTTCGTTTCTTGCATTGTTTCTGCTTTGTTTGGCCTTCACGTGCAGAAACATCTGTTTCTGTGAGACACTCTCTTATGGCAAAGTGTAAGTTCATAAGTGAACTGAAAGCAGCCCCGAGTGCTGCTAAGAACGAAAAACGAAACAAAGCTCAAAAAACAACAAACAGCAAACAGAAAACAGCAAGCGGCATGTGGCACAAATAACAGAAGCATTACGTTGTTGCCCCAAACCAAAGGCAGAACTTCAATTCAATAACTTTTGGCTGCCAGGATGTTTTGTTGTACGGACTTTGGCTGCTCGCCGAGAAACGTGCTTTGATTTTCGTGGCTGCCTACCGAGCAGGGGGCGTGGCAGGCAGATGTGCCCTGTGTCTGTTACAGTTGCACTTGCTAGTATTGGCAGTGTCGGCATCGGCATCGGCATCGGCATCGGCGTAGATTCGATTTTGGCTCGTTTATTCCAGCGGCGCTATGAATGAAATTAAATGCAGCGCCGCAACAGGCGCCTGCCCCATATTCAACCTCAACCTCAACCCCGTCCCATGACCCGGGCACAACTGACGAGGGCAACGACGCTGCTCGGTCGCTTGTTGCAACTTTGGCTTCGCCCAGCAGCAGCTTGTTTCTGATCTCGACTTTTGGCATCCGGCTGCTTCCAGCGGAGCGCCAGCGCCTCAGCGCCATTGCCTCTGCCTGTGGCTGAGCAGCACAAACTTTGTCCAAGTTGTGTGGGCGTCTCTCAGCCTCCAAAGCGCACCGAACAGAAAGCAGAGCCAGACCTAGAGGCCGAGAAGGAGAGAAAGAGAGAGGGGGAGGGGGAGAGCGAAAAGGCTGAGCTGGGCGTTTGCCTAAATTTATGGCTTGCCGACGGCAGAGAGGCAGCGGCTGAGGCAGATGCAGAGGCAGCGACAGCGACAGCGACAACGGCAACAGAAGCAGCCTTGTGACAATGTACATTGCAACGAAAATTTGTGGCTTGCTCAAATTAAGTTGCATAATTTTTTGGAAAATGCAGCGTTTTCGTTCCTTCTTGTTAAAGTATGTTAATAAATCAAATATGGCAACTAAGAACGTTCGCGACTCATTGGCTGCTCCAAGCTATCGAAAGTCCAAGTGGAAGAAGCAGAGCGTGCAGAGTGTAAGAAAACCAGAAATATCCATCAAAATGGTTGAGTGCCTTGAGGATATATGTTTGTGGTTTTGGGAATTCGCATAAGCAACTTTCTCTGTATTTTAAATGGTATTTAGTGTGTCCGATCTGTAGGTTTTTCCATTTAGTAATGTACACACAAGTATTTAGATGTAGACCCTAGTAGGTCTTTTCGGTTTAAGTTTTATTTCATGAATGATTCTTAGTTCTCTAACAATGGTTAAATACAGCTCAGATCGCGTAGCTGCTATAGGTAACACTTTTTATACTCATTCACGAAAGTGAAATGAGTATATTGGTTTTGTGCAATGTCAAATCGGAAAACGCAGTTTCCGATATGCCAGAAATCATATTAGTTGAAGAGCTAGAAAATTTGGAATGTAGAGCCGCATCGACCAATCAAGATCACGTGCTATGGCGGATATATCTACGCCCATTGGGGGCGTGGCAAATCAGGTACAACTGTATCTCCTAGAGTTTTAAAGCTAGTACTTTTAAATTTTGCACGTCAGCTAATGTTCTGGTTCTATAAAGATTGATGAAAAACCATATGTCTACGCCTTTTAGGGGCGTGACAAATCGAACCTGAAGATATAGTGATTTTTCAAATTCTGCTATATTTTGGTGGATATATGTCCAACCACAGGGGGCGTGGAAAACCGAAAAAGTTTATATCTCCTAATGTATAAAAGCTAGAAGCTTCAAATTTGGCATATCAAAAAATACCCTATAATTTTGAGCGTAAGCATCCAAATCTTGCAGCTAGGTTACCGTTAACTTTGCTCATGAGTTGGCCAAAAGTGAAGTGTCTACGCCCAGTGGAGCCGTGGTAAATCGAATTTATCGAATCAGTAACGCCCGACTGCAACGTTTTAACTTTTTTTTTTTTTTTTTTTTTTTTAAGAACTAAAAACCTTTTGCTTCTTTTTTTTTTGCTTTTTATACCCTGAACCCATTGAAAATGGGAAATCAGGGTATAATGGTTTTGTT